TTAAGGTCTCCTCCCCCTTGGCCCAGATCAGTGCCACTCCACCGCCCTTCGGATGGATGGAAGATGAGTGACTATTTGACCCAGTGATGTGAAGTGACCACACCCTACACCTACGCGCAGAACATTCCAAAAGTGCCCGAGGAGTCCGCTCTCCCACCCCCGGTGAAGTCGCCTGCCTGTCCCTCACAGTGTGGCTAGGAGACCTTCCTTCCCGCCCCTCCCACATCCACACAACATTCAGTCTCTGACTGAGGGGAATGCAGACCTGAGAGAGGGTCTGGAGGGGACCATAACTCCTACCTGGCCTCAAACATGGGCCCAGAACAAAATGAAAAGGAGCCTAAGCACCAGCCTTCAGGGCCAGGCGGACAGGGAAGCAGATGAAAGCAGGAGGGACTCAGGGGAGGCAGAAGAAAACCTTCGATGATGGAACTTGTTAGACTGGCTTACAGAGAGAAAAATCCATTTTCCCAGAGGGCTGGCAAATCAAATAGAACCCCACTGCCCAGAATGGCTAAGAGGCGGTCCTCAGTAGAAGCAGGAGAATGGACTAAATGACCCAAATGGTCTCTTTCCATCCCAGTTTAGTGCCCAGATAAGAAAGCGGAGTTCCTCTGTTATCGCTCTAGCCACAGTGGGGTCCTGTTCCCTGGTTTCTCCCAGGCAGTCAATCCCAGCATGACAATCACATGGATCCAGATTTTTCAAGCGAGTACCGGCCTCCAGGCCTGAAAGAAATCTACACTGTCTGAAAAAAATAGACAGTAGTTATCCTGTACGTGCATATAAAGCTCTACAATTTCTCAAGTTCCCACAAATTCACTAACTGCCCCCTTAGGTGAGAAAACAGGTCCAGGGATTTACCCAAGTCCCAGTCAAAATCCAGTGATGGGGTAAGGGCAGACCCTGTCCACAGGTCCGGGCTATTTCTAGACGCTGTCCTGCTACAGCTAGAGCTCCGAGCCCCATGAATACAGCCAGCAGCCCTGACGGAGTGCTCCAGGGATGTTGGGGAACCAAAGGTCTTGCCTTGCTAACTGATAGACTAACCCCGTGGTCGGCAAACCACGGCTCGCGAGCCACATGTGGCTCTTTGGCCCCTTGAGTGTGGCTCTTCCACAAAATACCAGGTGCAGGTGCGCACCTACAGTGCAAGTGAAACTTCATGGCCCATGTGCAGATGTCGGTATTTTGTGGAAGAGCCAGTATTTTGTGGAAGAGCCACACTCAAGGAGCCAAAGAGCCGCAGTTTGCCGAGCCGCAGCTTGCCAACCACTGGACTAACCCTTTCCCCCACTGATAAGTTGATGCTCAGGGAATGGCGTGCCATCCACCACGGTGTATAGGGAAGGAACATTCTCAATTTGCCAGTGGAAGCCAGCAGCAAGCATGTAATAGGTCTTCAGGAAGACAAAGCCACCATGAATACAGCCACTTGAACCTGGTCAGAGGTAAGTCAGTTATAAATAGTCTTCAGGGGGTTCATTCTTCCTGCTAAGAAAGAGTTCATTCATTCTGGGTATTGAATGAAGTCATTTTGTGACTCTACTACCAATTGAGACTCTTTGGAAACTTGTTCATATGCTCAGACCCAGTGATACCCTGCTGGGAATCCAGCTAACAACAGAAGCAAGTAAATGTTCACTGCAGTGTTACTTATAATGAAAAGAACTAAAACGGGACAATTCAGTTATCTAACAGCAAGGGGGTGGTTAAGCAAATGAAGCTACGTTAATGCACCGAAGTATAGTGCCATTGTCACAATGACCACTATAAAGACAATTACCAATGGATCTATATCTGCACTGTGAGCACACCACATCCAATTCTGAACACATCAATGCAAGACTAGGGAGGTTGGTATGTAAAAATAAGTAGGTTAAAAATGGTTACATCAATGGAGTGGGTAATCTCCTTCCAAATTTTTTTCATAGTGATTTTTCAAATGGAAAGAAAATACCTTTTGCAGAAATGGTGTTTTAATGGTGTTTAATGACATAGGAAAATGTTTATCTAATATTAATGAAAAAATGTCTATTATAAAAGACATATGTATATGTAGAACTAGACCAAAAAAAGACTGGATGGATGCAAAAAAAAATCACCAGTAATGTCTTTAAGATGTGGACTTATTTAATAGATGACTTATTTTAATCTATGATGTTATTTTTTTTTAACTTTCTACAAAGACTGTCTCTTTTGAGAATTAAAATATCAAAAAATGATGGATAGATAGAAGGTAGGATGGATGGATGGAATAGCTGAAAGATAGATGGGTGGGTAAGATGGGTGAATGAATAGAAAGATGCATGATAGATAGATAGATACATACATACATACATACATACATACTAGTACATACATACATACTTACATACATAAAGCTATCTCTTTTCCTTCCTTCCTTCCTTCCTTCCTTCCTTCCTTCCTTCCATCCAAATCCCTTTCACTGGGATAAAATCAAGAGCACAACCTTCTCAAAAAGAAAAAGTCGACAATTACAAATGTTACAGATCATCTGTCCTCAGCTCTATTCTGCTGCTGTAAGGATGGAAGAGAAGATTCCTCTCTGGTGCCCTCGTGCCCACCCCCTGACCTCTCTGCTCCGGGCTACACTCTAGCAGGTGAGGGTGATTAGCTGTGGCTGCGTCACATCCAGCCTCAGAGCCTGGGAACTACACACACAAAGGCTCTAGAGCAGCGGTTCTCAACCTGTGGGTCGAGACCCCTTTGGGGGTCGAAACACCCTTTCACAGGGGTCGCCTAAGACCATCGGAAAACAC